ACAGTGAGCACTTGACACACATTTGCTGGATAGAGCAAAAGAAACAACGGAATAAAAATGAAAACATGACATGTAACAGAAATAATAAAACCGGAAACATGAGCATACAAGTAGCCATGTAAAGTTTATGGTTTAGTAGTTCAGTAGACTTGGTAGACAAGTTATATTCTTGGTGCTTACAAGTTTCTAGACAAGTCACAACTTTTTCTTGCTTTGGTTATTTGATCTATAAAATATCCCTTCCTTCATGCATTCAAAGGATGCTATGCGATATTATTAAGAGGAAAAGAGGAGGAACAACTAAGAAAGATTGGGGCATAATATTTTCTGAGACTGTATGAGAGCTGCTATATAGAAACACCTGAAAGAGTCAGCCAGACCTGCAGGAAGCACACTAAGGAACAGCTAAGCAAGAGACAAGAAGAGGAACAAAAGTTTACATGAAGCTCTGAGCCAGGGCAAAGCCCTGGAATCCAAGCTACTCTAAAGGCTGAGGTAGGAGGATCACAAGTTTAAGGACAACCTCAGCAAATCAGTGAGATGTTGTCTCAAAATAAAAAATAAAAAAGGGCTGGGGAAGTAGCTTGGATTCGATCTCTAGTACTGAAGAAAAAAGTTTAAATCAAGAAACTAGTATACTTGGTGTACTTTTTACTGGCTAACTATGTTTTTTGTATGTATGTTTGTAATATGTACAAGTACCATTCAGTATTAAAATAAATTAAATGAAGTTACATGTGAAAAGTCACAAAGATACTGTGGTGTCATAATACTGATATATAAAGCCAGAATGGCATAATTTAAACAATAAGAAAAATTTAAAGTGTAACTGGAAAGATGAGCTGGGAGAAGATGCAGCCTGACCTGTACATCACTATGGAACAAGGAGGAAGCACCAAAGCAGGATGGGTAGGGAAGAAAGAGGTGAGCCACATAGCTATCTCCTGTGTGTCAGGGAAAAGCTTACCCTGGGCACCCAAGTTGCTTCAATCAGCAAGCTGAATGATGCACAGATGATCAAATAAATAAACGGAGAGACCACCACTACTGAATTGAATAAGAGCAACACAGAAAGGCAAGAAGAAAATCTAATTTTGGTGATGTGAACTACACACACTTGACCAGTGTTCCTTCTTGAACTACCTGCCTAGCTCTCAGTAAAAAGCCCCTTAAACTACAGATTGTCCAGCTTTAACTCTCTAGAAGAGGGCTGAAATCACAGGAGATCATAGCTCTGTATGTGTACATTAAAATTCCAGGAGACAGAATATTATTCTATTTTCTATTAATTTTCCATTACTTTATATTAGATTTCTTAAATTTTTCAGTTCAGTGAATTTTAGTAAAACAGTTTCAGTAGCCATTTCAATTATTTAAAATGGTCCAAATTAGGGAATACTCAGTTCTTTCCGGTTCTAAATGTTATATATGCTTTCAGTAATTATGGTTAAAGTAGAGACAAGTTGTTTGAAAAAACTCTGAAATACCTTCAAGCACAGTCATGAGCAGCTAAGCGAAGGACCCACTGGAATTACAATGAGTGCCACTTCCCAATGCAAGAGACGGAACTGTTTGATATATTCATCATGTTGATCTTTTGCAGATGGCAGCGATTTGTATTGTCACTGTGGTAACAATGGTTTGCCATGCAACCCAACAAAAAGAGTTAAGACAAAGCAAAACACATTTGGCCTAAAATGAAAATACCAATATATTCTTGTATCCAAGAGTCTGTTGTCAAGCAGGGTTTTTCGTCCAGAAAACATTTTCTTTCAAGATGGTACCATAGTTTCCTGGCAGGAGTCTAATTAATAGGCTCTTTTTTATGATAATCTTAAGTTTGCAACCTCCCTAAAGTCTGTCATTTCCATGTAAATAGGGAATAGGAAAAATTTTAAAGCCTACCCCGAGAAAACAAATTAATGGCCCAGGCTGGGAATACAGCTAGGTGGCAGAGTATTTCTTGCCAAGGATATGCAAAGCTCTGGGTTTGATCCTCAGTATCTCAAAAAAGATAAAACAAAAACTCAAAAAAAAAAAAAATCGATGGGTCAAATATTATGTGGTTCAATGAAAACCAAAAACTTCATTTATAACACAGCAATGAAGTCATTGTGGGGTTGGGAAAACATTAATCACACATAGAAAAATTTCAGAATATTCATTCCAGTCTCAGATTTCTTGATAACTCTAAGTATGCACAGATGAACATGGTAAAACCATGAAATTATATTACATTATGAAAGAAATACCCAGTTTAGAAAAAGAACATAGCCACTGCATCTATAGGCAACTTAGAATGCTATATTTGCCATTTATTATATTAAAAACAAAGGATGTTATAATCTGACAAGAGTCATTGAGGAAGAGAGTAATTCTAATATTTCTAAAAAGAATCCTACTAGTGGAGGTAGATTGGTTTGGGGACTAAGAGCAGACACAATTACCGAGACTGTTGTTCTTCTACTCTCAGGCTCCAGCATAAAGAAGAATCAATTAGCCCTCAACCGTCTATGACCTTGAAGGCTGCAGCTCTGTGCATAATACACTGAATATGCTGAGACAGAAGGAAAATGCAAAAGGGAGAATAAAGTCCTGCAACCACTGCAAAGCATGTTTCAGATATGATAATGTCCTTGAGAAACAGAACTCATGACAGCTTACTTTATGTCAAAGACATACGTGATGAAAAGAAAGTCCCAGCGCTTTCCCCGACTAAACAATACTTTCAAATTTGAAGAGTGCAAGGGATTGCAAAATGGTAATCTGATTGCAAGCTTTTTTTTTTTTTTGCATTCCCTTCATTTAATAGTTATAAACTGTTTAAACAAAAACAACCAATCAAAAGTCTCTAAACATAAAATTGCCTGGACACCCACTCAAAACAAAAACAAAAATAAAAACATTTTTTATTTGCAATTTTAGAATTATTTTAGGGGTTATTCCAAAAAATTAACAGTTTTCCCACACAGAAAAGTATGTGAGACTTCATAATGTTAACCATCTGTACCTTAACTTTTCAGAGAAACTACTTCCCAGCCTACTTATCTCTGACACACTTCAGAATGCTACAGCTGTGCATCAGTGATGCTTTTAGGCAGCAGTAAATCTTTTCCATTTATTGAAAATGCCACAAAATCAATGTCCTCCCTTAGAAAAAAAGAAAGGAAAAACAACTGTATCAAATGCAGACTCTATTAAAACACTTAGTAGAAGCATTTTCCTTAAAAACAATTTTGCAAAACTTGACAAGTACTTCCTAAGAGAGTCCTAGCTCAAGAAAATGTGCTGCATGTTTCTTTGTTTGATTTCATCAGATGACAAACATAAGAGAATTTAGTTGAAGAGTTTCTTTTAAAGAGTCATGTATCTTTTGCTGGGCAACTCAACCCAATCCAGGCATATTTTCATTAAACATTTAAGTTTTAAATGATAAAAAAGTAACCTTGTCTTCATACTGAATTCTGCTTCTCTTTGCAAGATCTGCACTTGCTTTTTATAGCTTGTCATTTCATCTGGGTATTATTTCCTGGTCATTCTGCCAGGTGGGAAGAGGCAGTGAATGCAGTGATGTCTGTCACATCTTTAATGATGCTTTAGGGATTTGATAAAGATACAAAGCAGTGTACGCATGGAGGAGGTTTTCTAATTACACTTGGAAAAAACAAACCTCTTTTTTAACCTTTGCCACCGAAGCTGCCGCATGTAAAATGATGGTGAATCGAAAACACATATCAAATTTTTCTGTTTTCCTATACCACAGTAGCTACTTCGTACTTAATGTCTGGAGAATATATTCTTTATTCTTTATTACAGTCTATGGGGAAAATGGAAGCAGTATTTCATCCTAGATGCTCTACCTTTAACTCCTTTACCTCTAAGAGATTTCACACATGTTATTAAAAACCAAATTCTCTGATCTTTTACTTTCTTGCTTTTATCAATGATAAAAAGTGATGGAAGATACAACAAAACAAACTAAAAACAATTTTTCAAGAAAGCTATAAAAACTCTTCTTTTATATACTGAGGTTGGGAACAATACAGCGAATCACAGTTTCATCCTTGCCAACTTTCCATTATAAAGCTATTGCAATGACCCAGTGCAAATGGCAATACATTGTCCAGTGCTGTTTTAAGAGCGTGGAGTCTGTTTACTTACAGGTTATTAAACCAGGCTGCTTCAACCTGACCCGATAAAATGACATGTCTGAAGAAAAGAAAAAGATGTAACTTACTAATAGACCTTGTACATTTTAATGACTGCTGAGGACGCTATTTAAACACTCGATTGGAGAAGACAAAATTAATTTGGGAAAATTCCTTCATGCAGAATTGTAATAGGCTTTAAACAAAATAAGCTGCCCATAACAAGTTCCTAGCCACTGAAAGTGCAATCTGTGCAGGACAGTAATAGTGTCAGGCTAGAGAGAAGTGAGCACTGTAACTGTCTTAATGCTTGCTGCACTGTTGGGAAAAAAATCACTAAACATCCAAAGGTGGGGAGAAGCGGGGGAGAGCAAAGAGATAAAGAAAGATAATGGGTATCATGGGCTGCTGCAGGCAGAAGGTAACCAAAAGGCCATAAAAGTCTCCAATCAGAAAAAGATACACAGGAAATAAGACCTACTGATATATGGACACCACATTCCTATAATAAACCAGGGGTGGTCTGATGTTTTAATCCCTAAAACTGTTAGAGATGAATTTAAGTTAAATTTAAGCATGACTTGCAGATACTGAAGTTTTGGATCCCCAAACCCTGATTTAACAATTAAGCTGGAGGGAGCTGCCCTTAGAAGACAGCTTCAAAGGAGTAGTTTACAGGATTTTTTTACCCGTCTCTTCAATGCCACCCCGAGCATCTCAGTCACATGATTTACTCAAATAAAACCATGTAATTACAATGCAAGGGAGGAAGCAGCTCCGCAATCTGGAGAACACCTCTGGGGAGCGTGAGCCCACCTTTTCATTTAGTCAGCATCATTTCACTCTACTTACAAAGTTTAGGAGCAGTTTGGAGATTAGTTTCTGTTGTTTGTGGCTGAGTTGCTGACTTGGGTGTTCTCACCTCAGGGTTCCGAGTAGGTGAAGGGAAGAATGGCGCAGTGGATGGAAGGAGAGAAAAAGCAAAAATACGATTCTTTGGGGTTGGTGCAGCTGCAGGTTCAGAGGTAACGGCAGCATTGTCAACTTGCACTGTAACTTGAACCTCAGTTTTAGATTGAGCCCTAGAGACAGGTGAAGTGTAAGCCTCAGACGATACCCACACAGCTGAGGCAGCAGTTGGATCCAAAGAAATAACAGGGTCCTGGCCTAATCCCCCAGGGTCAAGGTGAGTAGGAGAGTCATACTCAAATATCTTGTCCACAAATACCCACTTAAGGCCAGCAATGCAGAGGCAGAGACTGACCAGGCAAGCTAGAATGGGGACGATGCAGATTTTCTCGGAGTTGAGGCAACCTCTCAGGCGCTCTGCCTCCAGGTACACACAGCAGGGCACAGCCAGACCCACGAGTCCAGGGGGGCTGCCGTCTTCAGTCTGGGTCTCTGGCATGTCCTCGGCGGCCGGAAGTCCATCCAGAGATGGGTCTGCACTCAGTTGAGTGGAGGGGCTGGAGGACCTCTCGGCAGCTCCCTCAGACATGTCTGGGGAATAAATCTCCATCGGCTCACCTCCAGAAGGCCTGGCCTCTCTCATGGTCCATTACCACGCAGGCCCCCCGCAAGCAAATGATGCAGCATCTTCCAGAGGGAAATCGATAAGTCGTCCAAGTCCAAGGCCATTACCAAAAGCAAGGAGTTCACGAGGAAGAAAGAAAACAAGAAAAAGGAAAAGAAAAAGCTCCTAGCAACTATAAAATGAAAACATATTATAATAATTTTTTAGCTGTTGTTTTTGGGCCACTTTTCCAGTTCTTTTAAAGGCTTCTCCAAACCATCCCGACAGACCAGTCAAGAGGACAGGATCCAAAACAGAAACAAAGCTGAAGGCCGGTTAATTAAGTAAACCAGTAGCCCAAACTGAAAGGCACGTTTCTCACCTCAAGCATCTGAAGCTGGTGTCTGCTTAGATGAAGAAAACAACTGTCATGCAGGAGAAGTAAAAGCAAAAGCAGGACCAGAGGCGGCGGCGGCGGCGGCGGGAGCAGCAGCGGAGGCAGGAGAGGTAACAGTGACAGTAGCAACAGCATCCTGTTGTGTTAACGCGGCTGAAAGAGGCTGAATCATTACAGAGCAGCAGGTGCCTGCCCTCTGAGCATCACCGCAAACAGTCTCATCACCGGGCGCTGTGCTGGGAGCGCAGCGGGAGGGGCGGTGACTCCTTCCCCGCCCTGCTCCACCCCACCCCCAACCACTCCTCTTTGTCCTTCTGGAGCGCTCAAGTCACTTTCTTCCTCTGCTGTCTTCTTTCAGTCTCTTTTCTCTCTCCTCCCCTGCCTCATCCCAAGTCTGTCTGTCTGTCTCTTCCTCCCTCTCTCACCATCCCGCTCCCCCTCTATCTCCACTCTAAACTGCTGCTCCTCTGAGTAAAATCAGTACTCTGCACCCAGCAACACAGGACTGCCAGTGACTTCCTATTTTATCCAATTAGAAGGAATAAAGGCCATCAAATCAAAGAGAGGCAGGCGGGCACCAGTTAAGCTTGATTCCCAAGGCCCTCACCCCTTTTCTTTTCTTTTGCTTTCTCCGTGAAAGCAGCCCCAGCCCTGCACCCCCCACCCACAATCTTGCTTGCTTTCAGTCCTGCTGGCTCTTTTCTTCACCCACTGCCGGGTCAGAAAAAGCCAGCGATCGATGCTAGCAATCTAACAAAGCTGGGATGGGGTGGGGGATGTAGGTGGGACCTTCTGGGTTGGACCTGAGGCTTGGCAAAGTCTGATATCTGATGCCTCCCTAGAGAGGTAAGCTTTTCAACAGCGATTCCTTCCTGCCTGCTGCTGGGAGATAGCATTCCTTCCCTCATCCTCTAATAAGTTTTGTTCACCAACAGGACTGCTATTACCTGATCTTCAACCAACAGTTACAACATCATTTCTAACCATGGACAGCTCTGCCTTTAGCCCTTCCAGTGACACTGTGTCAGAGCCCTCAGGCCCAGCTTGACATGCTGAGAGCGGAGGGCGGGGACCAAGGGAGAGAAGAGGACGCTATAAGAACGCTTTCTTTAAATTTCCATGTCTTGTCCCACCAGAGCAAACTAGGCTAATGTTAAGCTAATAAGAAACCCTGTAAGTAACGGAGCTATAAAGCAGCAAGGGCTACTTTCTTATTTTTAAATTAGCCTTTCCTTGTGACTCGGTACTGTAGAGGTTTGAATTTCCTGGACGCTGTAATATATACCATGCCTCAGCTATCGCCACACGGAAAGTATTAGGAGTTTTCCATAAGAGTGCACCTTCTGAATTAGGTTTCAGGAGCTAGAGCTATACCTTTCTGATGATTTCAATGCTGATTTTTTTTTTTCTTCTAAAGCAGCAGTCTTTAGAAGTCTTGGTCTTTTCTTCTAAAGACCAAGAGAAACACACTGTCCTTAGCAGGAACACAGGCTCCTCCGAACATTCTGTTGCATGTCGGTGCACACTGTGTGCATCTGAATCCTTAGTCCACACTTCACTGTAACTGGACATCCAAATGGTTTCAGAGGAGCCATTCTGTTCACGTCTGTCAATAAGAGTCTTTAAAACTCTCTCTAAATCTGTACTATATACCCATCATACGAGTCCCAGAAGCTTAAGTCTGAAGAAAACCTGCTTTAAGTACACTATATTTCATACAGCACAATCTCCACTGCTTTGAAATATACTTAAGCTTCAAATGGTAGGACCTAAGAATATTATTATTTCCTTCAAGATGAAATTACTCTATAATTATAAATGACTTAAGGAGTATTAAAATCTTAAACTGTGTTTTCAGTACTATCGCCAATACCAACAAAAGCCTGAACTAACCTACATAATTGCTACCATGACTATAGAAAGCTTATGGGCAAAATAATTATCCTTAACTTCATCGCCACATAACCTGCATCTACAGACCAGTAACTAGATTCCTATGTGTACTTTTTAATTTTACCTACTTGAATTTAAAGCAGTGAAAGGTGTCTTAACAAAGATTTCATGATGGACATGAAATTTCACAGTAAAATATTTCTATGAGAGCATTTTCAATGTGTAAATATTAAAAAATAGTTTAAACAAGTAGAGGTGGATGTTAAACTAGGGTACTTTACAATTTCTTCAAAGATCATCTAGTTTAAGTATATAACACTTAACTCTTCCAACTTGCCCACAGCTCAAAAGTCTAATACTTTGGTAAATCATTCATAGTCAATTTCATCTAAACTTCATAAACCAAAGTGGGGTTCAGGTATCCAGAAGTCCAAAAAGTAGGAGAAGATGACAAGAATAGTAATCTCCATACCTAAGAAAAATGGTTCTTAATCTGCATTAATGGCAATCACTCACCTCACTTTAACCATTATGAGTAAACATATTCATCAGACAAAAAAAAAAAAAAATTAGTGGGGTCCTCTGTAGTTGTCATATTAAAAATTTCCAGCACTCACACACACAGAGGAATACCAATGTATTCTATGAGGTCTGGTATAAAACATCACAGAATCCTGCAACTTCCATAACTGTTCTTTGCCTTGGACTATATAAATCACACATGTCTGAGTTATGCATGTTTCTCTCTGGAAATGAATTTCATAAACTTTGCGGTACCTTGGTGCTCAGATCAGTTTGCAGAGAGCCAGCTTCCCATAATAAAATTGTTTTTTCCATGAAATGGGAAGATGAATGTAATTAGAGAAAGGAAGTAGGACAGGAGGTGAAGAATAAAAGGAATTCTCCATTACTTCTACCTTGGGAGCAGGGGCCAGAAGTTACTAATCCATTCGTCAAATCCACTACCACAACAACGTGTGAGGAAAGGGAGTAATCACGGGGCTAGAGGTGAGACTCCCCTGTGGTTGAAACATGCATTTCTGCAGGAAGAAGTGCAAGGATGTAGCATTTTAACTCTCTATGTTTCACCCTAATAAAACTCAGGAACACCCATATTTGCAGGTCCTCTTTAAAAACATGAAAAGAGATTTTTACTACCTTCTAAAATCTTACATTACCACCTTCCTTATAACAATAAAAGCTACATTATTTCTGATCCTTACTAGTCCTATGCAATCTGTATTTCTTTGAGAGTAAATAAATAATTACTTTGAGAGAGTAAAGTAACTTGGGCAATTTAGCCACAGACTAAATGATAGAGCCAAGATGTGCAGAAGGCCTGACTCATGCTATTTCAGCTAAGATCAGTTTTTCTTTTTTAATCAAGAGTACCTCTATTATATATTTTTTACATATTAGTTCAGTGTGAGTAAGAGAACCAGAAAGTGCAACAATGATATGGGAATTATTATCCGAATATAGTTAACAAATTTAAAAGTGCTTAGTTCCTAAAGTAAGAGCCTCCTAAAATTTTGCCTAGTGATTTTCAGAAGTTAGTGGTAAAGATTAAGCATGTAAATATCATCTATTTATGGTTTAAATCGAAGGAGCTCTTCCACAGTATCAGTTCCAGCAGTCTTTGAGGAAGCTGTTTCAATTACGTGTTGCTGTGAAACAAACTGCCCGCAAACAGCTTAAAACAACTGCTGCATAATGTCTCACTAGGCTTTAGGGTCACCAGCTTCAACTGAGGGGTTCTTCTGCTCCACTAGTGTCAGCTGGGGCTGCAGTTGGCAGATATTTACCCAATAACCTTCTCTTTTATCTTCTTTTCCCTTCCTTTCCTTTCTTTTTCTTTCTTTCTCTTTCTCTTTCTTTCTTTCTTTCTTTCTTTCTTTCTTTCTTTCTTTCTTTCTTTTTTTCTTTCTTTCTTTCTTTCTTTCTTTTTCCTTTTCAAAGTTAATCCCTGTTCCTAAATTTTATGACTGAAAGAAGTAGAATTTACTTTATAATATGTAATATAGAGTGACAACAGCCATTTCATTTTTGGAGATAACTAGAAGTAGTAAATTACACATGTATTTGTTCATGAAATGTGAAAGCAGGATTTTTACCAGAAAGGTAATTTTAAAAGCTTGCTGTTCTCTCAGAATGTACAGTGCCCAGATAGAGTGGCTGGCCTTTCCCATCGAACAACATCCCCTCGGCCTCCACAGAGCCCTGGCTATTCTTCTCAACCACCCAGCCAGCATTTTCTCCGCTGTATCATTCATTAGGACATGTTTTCATGGCATGTGTTATTGTCTAATTATGTGACATATGCAGGGATAAAGAATAAAATTTCTTAGAAGGCAGGGACTAGCACTATTTATTTGTTCTAATCTAGCTGTACAAGCCATTGAATATACACGCATTGTTTGGTTATACTTTTAATTGAAATTGAATTACCCAGATTATAGAACCTTTAACAAAGTGGTACACTTTTTTCATATCCATTCATCCAAAATACCATCTGTGTGCCCTTTCATAGTTACAAAATCTTTTAATACATAGTTAAGATACTTCCTTAACAAATTGTCTCTGATTACTACCAAATATGCTTTATATGAATGTAGCTGTTCTATTAAAGCAGATATCCCAGAAGTATTTAATTCTCACTCATAGCAGTTCCTTTCAGTGGGTGGAAGGTTTGAAATAAATCAATATTTAAGTGTTTTCCCTGTAATTCTTCTCTCTCCAATGAAACAGAAAAGTTCTCTGAAGGTATACTACATCCAAGACTTGTCAGATACTCTTCCACACTATTTACGATACCAACTGGTTGAGAGGAAAGTCATTTCCCCTTACTGGGTGAGTATTTTCTGTCCACTTTGAGGAGGAGTCCAGACTCCACACTTGATTTTTACCTACTTAACATGGTCTCTCGGAAGACAATTTTACCTAACGTTAAGAGTTATTTTGTGAGACCTTGTATTAAATGCTTGGTATTGACTGTGCTTCTATGTTCTCATTTTGTAACAAGATGATCAATCTACTCTGGCACATTTTGTTCTTCCTGGGTTTAATCTCCTGCCACTCAAGATAAAGTAAATGATCTCAAGGCTGAGAATGTCATGTTGAATTTCATATGGAAACGTATTTTATCATATGTTATAAATTATACTGAGTTTACTTTTATAGTGACTTTAGTTCAAAAGAACCTATTAATTTTTGTTTATATTAAGATTTTAAAATTTTACCCTTTAATTGACACACATTGTGCAGGACACAAATGTCATGATTTGAAATATGTATATAATGTGTAATTATTAAATCAGGATAATCACTATTTCTTCTTACCGTTT